ACTTAGTACGAAAAAAAGTTTTAGATGGGAGCACGCCACGTTTCGCCGATGGTGATTTTCATATGTAATTTCCGTCATGGATTTTTATATAGTCAGCCAATCGTATTTCGATGATATCTCGCCATCTACTGGGCCGATTTGGATGATCTAACCACCGTTAGATGCGTCTCGACGAGCTCTACAATTTTTAATTAATAGGCATGTGTCATTAACTTAGTACGAAAAAAGTTTTAGATGGCAGATGTCTCATTTCGCCTATTCTTCAGTTCATAGGTGGATTATCAATTAATCAAAATTCAGTAATCTTTGGTCTAATGATTCTTTCAGGGCGTAATATCTTCAAGGCTTCTTTTCGTACACCAGGCACTGTGTAAAACAATTGTGCATAAGTTATATCAGCCTTTCAGTTCTGCAAGTCTGACATTATTAAGTATAGAGAGATGCCAGTTACTATTTGTAGATCAATAGCCTTTATTTTTTTCTTTCTTGCCATTTTCTGTCTTTTTTCATCATGTTTGTTCTTTCCAGCAGCTTTATTTGCAGGTGAAGCTTCAACATTATTATTATTATCATCATCCTTTTGTTGCCTCTTAGCCAGATAGATTTTTTCAATCTTCGCTACTGAGAGATTATTTGATGCTAACGTATACTCACTCTCTAAAGGTGTGTCATATAGTTTAAATGCTCAAGGTTATCTTCTATTTTGACTTATATTGCTTGTGTTCTTATCTCTTCATTTATTGCAATAGGTTAGTATGCTGTGCATTATTAGAATTAGGAATATTATACTGCAAAGAGCCATTTCTACCTTCATTTAATTGTTGGGTCATATTCAGACAATTTCTAGCAAAATGTTCTGGCTGCTGACAAGCAAAGCAAGTAGGCTCACGAACATTCTTTTTTTTATAGTTCCTATTATCTACAGGGTGTAAATGATTATTATCATCATTATTGTTCTTTACAACTGATACTACTTCCTGTAGTAGTGAGATCACGTGTTCTATAGACCCACTTGAATTTATATTTATAGAACTATTTGACGGCAAACTTCTTGTGTAAGCAACAGTCGATACTATCGGCTGTGTTGGCACTTGTTGATGTAGTGCTGGCTGATATTGTGTATATCAAGGTTGTTATGAAGCCACTGGTTGCTGCAAAAATGATTGTTGTAAAGCTGAGATACCAGATATCGTATTATATATAGCTGTAGGCAGTGTTGTCAATTTTTAATGTCTGAGCTATTTTTGGCAGACCGGACATTTTTGGACATTGTCCAAAGTCCGTGTCTGAGTTATGTCTGAGTAAATTGATTGTCACTGGACATAATCTGCACAAAAATTGTTAGACACAGACATATTACGGACATTGTCTGATGTCCGAGTTTGTGCATGGGAACACCTGCTAAATGATTTTTCGGCGAATATCTCAGATCAAATACAGAAGCATTTTCACTGGCGAATAATTAATTTCGAAAATTGCAAAATCTTAGATGTTAGCATATCTTTAATAAGCCGAGTTCTCAAGAACTTTTGAAGATATAAATGTATTAAAAACTTTTACGACAGATATTAATAAATCAAGATTTTTTTTAAATGAAATCTTGACAAAATTCTTGGCCACATCTAACTTTTTTAATGTCGGCACTACTCATACAATATATTTGTTATTTATATCTGAAGGCTTTTTGTCAAAAATTGTATACTATGCCGATATCATTATTACATAAATTTTATTTAATTATTGCATCGCAGCAATGCTAACCAAACTACATATTATATTCTACTACTAATCATATTCTAACCATTACTCTAGGCGCCAACTTTACCCTAACATAAAAGTCACTGCATTACAAAGAAACCACCATATTTGTCAAGAAATAGAACCGTGTCAAAGAAGCCCGCCTCAATGCCGCCTACGTCAAAGAAATTCACTGTCAGCTGCATTATTCAAGAAATTAAAACCCACCATCTATCACCAAAGAAACATACGAACTATAAACAAGACATAAATACCAACAAAAAATGACTATAGCAAACCAAACGACCACCCATAAAATGGAGACGCCAAAGATGACCACATATGAAATGCCACCAATAGCGATTATCTACAAAAAAGCAACATCAAGGATAAATGGTGACACTCAAAACACTACCCCATAACATGGTAACAAAGACAACCATCCCACCAACAAGGACAAAATGGTGATACCAGCAAAAGGAGGACACCAAGAAATGAAGAAACTAACGAATCAGATAATAACAAAGCCTTGTTGAATCAAGAATATTTGTTTTACAAAATGCAGCCTATGTTGGATGGGCCTGCAAAACTATGTGGATGTTGTATAAAGAAGAAATATGATGCTATCGATTGTATTCTAGAAAAGAAGTAGAAAGATAATTAGGCTGTTTGTCTTTACAGTAAAAATGAAGAATCGATCGATAAATTGAATGTAGGAAAAATGTCATTAAAACAATGAAACCATCTTGAAGAAGTGTTAAAAATGCACCAGGGTCTTTTTGTGTAAAAACTTTGTGAACTGGGCTGAATAACAGTCGTACAGCACAAAATCCATACTGAAAAGGGACTGTTGATTAAGCAGCAATTCTATCCTACGTCCAAAATCGAATATGAATTTATTGGATGAGAATTTCAGAGGATGGAAAAGGCTGGTTTAATTTGGTCATCAAATAGTTTGTGGGCGTCTCCGGTTATTCTAGTAAGAAAGAAAAATGAAAAGTTACACTTTTGCATTGACTTTTGAAAATTGAATAAAAAGACAAAGCATAATAGTTACCCTTTAGCCCAGATTAATGAGCTCTTGGAAGCTCTAAAGAAGTCAGCCTGGTATGCGACACTGGACCTCATAAGTGGTTTCTGGCAAGTTAGAATGCACCCTCGTAACTAGAAGAAAACAGCATTTACAATGAAGTTCGGCCTTTATGAATTCGTAGTAATGCCTTTTAGATTAATAAACATACCAGCCACTTTTCAAAGGTTAATAGATTGTGTCTTGCATGAAGAATTGTGGAAATTTGCTTTGGTTTACATTGACAACGTAAACATATATTTGACTGATTTTGATATGCATTTGGTTCACATCAATATTATTTTAGAAAGACTATAGCAAGCCAATTTGAAGTTAAATCTAGATAAATGTTTTTTTGGACAAAGACAAATTATATATTTAGGGCATAAAATTAGTAAAAAAGATATGACTGCAGCAGGGTCAAAGATAAAGATAGTAAAGGACTTTCTTGAACCAAAGAATGTGCAGGTATTACATGGATTTTTAGGACTTGTAGTTTTTATTGTAGGTTCGTGAAAGACTTTGTCAAGGTAGCTGCACCACTGTACCAATTGTTAAAAAGTAATGTTCTCTACCAATAGAAAAAGAAACAAAAGGAAGCATTTGATAAGTTAAAGTTACAGCTAATAACGGCTCTGGTTTTGGTGCATCTACAAGATGAAAAAGGATTTATACTATATACTGATGCCTCTCATATAGCCCTTGGTGCGGTTCTAGTATAGTGTGATGAAGAAAGTCAAGAGTATGTGATAAAATATACAAGTAGATCGATGAAGCCTGCTGAAAAAACTACACAATTATGGAATTGAAGTGTACTGCTATTGTTTGGGCTGTGAAGAAGTTTCACCAGTATCTACATGGGGCTCAGTTTACATTAATTACGGATCATAGTGTGTTAGTATATTTGAATAATATGGTGAACCCTACTGGATGAATAGTTCGCTATATTATGTTATTGCAAGGATACGACTTCGTGATTAAACATAAACCAAGAAGACAATTGGATAATGTGGATGTATTATCAAGAATTACAGTTGACCCAGGAGGAGATCTGATAGTAAAGAATGAAGAAATGATAAACAAAAGGAGCAAATGAAAAAAAAAACTTTTATATTAATAATTCTAAACTACATTTAATAATGCAAACAGAAACTGGAATAAATTAATTGATGATTGCAACTGGAATTTAGGTTGTAGACAATTACTTTGGTGCAGAATCATATAATTTAAAATTTTTATATATGCATATAGCAATATGATACCAAAGGCAGAAAAACTTTAATTGTTGAACAAAACAAACGGATATAGTAAAGCTAGAACAGCTATGATAATGTAGATGCAGAGCACAAGGCATCTACAAAAACTTTAAAAATATAATGAACTTTTAGCAAGATAGTTTAAAATTTTAGTCAAATATGTAATGATAGCATATAAAACAATAATAGTACTTTCTATTTAAACAACATATACATATTTGGAAATTTGGAAATTTAGTAACTTAGTTTAAAAAAAATGAAAGTGGAGTCTTATAAAGCATTGGTAAATTATTTGGACAAGTTAAAAATCCTTATGAAGTACTCAAAAGAACAAACATAAAAATTAAAAGTGCAAGCCTGGTATTATATTATACATGATGATATCTTATCCCTTAAACCGTCAGTAGTTAGCAGGCATATTTGGCTGCTAAAATATTAAAATTGTTATGTCTGATCTATTTT